GGAGGGGAGAATGGTCGGACAGCAGGTACTAGGACAGCAGTCCACCCTGAAACACGGGTCTGAGATGCAATGGGCCGACCAAAAGAAAATGTCCTTGGAAAAAGCTACACAAATCGTTGGTTATTCACCTCTGCTTTACAAAGGGAAGAAGTAACGGTACCAACAGTCCCGTTAAATTTTACTTCAACCATGGGGCTCAAGAGCCAGAGATATACATTGCAAATATCCCAGGTGTGAGGAACATGATAAGATAAAGTTTAATGAAAATAAACTATCCCGCGGACACCTTTTGAATTACTCGGGGACCCCCAGGGGTCCGCGGACCACAGGTTGGGAAACACTGATCTAGATAATGTGGGGCCCTTGACGTCTCACAACCCTATGGGTCTCCACTGTGTGTTATAGGGATAGCTTTACTTTTCTTTTAACTACTGAACATAGTGGTTTTATGGTTATGCATTCATGTTTTGTACTTGGTAGCTGTAGGTCCTAGATTTTGTTCTCAGCATGGAAGCCAGTCATCATGTTGTAAGATTTGAGGTTTTCACGGCGGTGACTATGAAGAAAGCAATCTTCTGGGATGTGGCACCGTGTAGATGTGGTGTTAACCGACATTTCGGAGGAACGTATCACCTCCATCTTCAGGGTAGAAGGAAAAATAAGAAAATCTGCAAACGAAGAGACAGTGAGACTGCAGACTGCTTGCACCTGTTCTCACTGTCTCTTCACTTGTGGATTTTCTTATTTTTCCTTCTACCCTGAAGATGGAGGTGATACGTTCCTCCGAAACGTCGGTTAACACCACATCTACACGGTGCCACATCCCAGAAGACTGCTTTCTTCACAGTTATCATGTTGTTTCATGTTGTTTTCATCAGTGAATTTAGGTAAATTTTGGAAAAGTATCTTATTATAGACTAATAATGCTTCCTTCCACAGTAATTCTAACTTTGAAATCATGTAACTGTAAATCATGCTTCCCAGTTATATTGTGGGAACTTCCCACATTCAAGCAAGTGTGACAACGCAAGTGTCATTGCTTAGCAACGACGAGTAAACAACGGTTGCTAAGCAAAGCGAGTAAACAGTGGTCGACTGACTCCCTGGCTAACTTGTAACTGACTTCGGTGGCAGTGTAGTTCTAGTGCATATAGTAGCAACAGACGACGGTAATAAACAGCGGTACCCATTACGTAACAGGTAAACACTGCGACTATATAAGAGAACTACACTGCCGTCAAAGTCAGTTATGAGTTACGAGTTAGCCAGGGAGTCAGTCAACCACTGTTTACTCGCTTTGCTTAGCAACCGTTGTTTACTCATTGTTGCTAAGCAATGACGCTTGTGTTGTCACACTTGCTTGAATGTGGGCAGTTCCCACAATATTGTTATTTTTCACATGTTATGGTAGGCATAAGAGAATCCTCATGACTTTGAAACCCAGACTTGCTCAACAGAACTGAATGTGTATATGGACTGCAATTGTTGGTCCCTTCTTGCTTAAATATGTCACATAATTGCTCAAAAACAGAAAATACCTCCTTACACTTCCATAAACAAAGAACATTGTTAAAATTTGTTCTTCCCTGTTGTCATTTCAGATAATCTACATTGCTTAGATTATATGCAACAAATAGAGTACTCTCTGCTGGATATGAAGTTCTTACAGTGCTGACAATGATCAGTACTGTATTCTGAGATGTGGTGCCATGTATCCCATGATCTATCCAAGGAATATACTATCTCACTCTTCTGGGTCAAAGCGTAAGCCAAGGAAGTACCAAGCAAGAAGCAGGCAGCTCATCTATAAATTGACATATTTACATTGCTGTAATTAACTCCATGGAGCTAAGTCATCCTTGAGAAGCTGCCAGTTGCTCAGATAATTAATAATTTCCCAACATTCTATAGAACCCAAAGGTTCAGTACCATGTTCACAAGAGCCCTTTACTAGTCCCTGCCTGAGCCAGATGAATCCAGCTAACACCACCCCCATCTTATTTCTGTAAGATCCATTTAATATCATCCTCCAACCTACATACTCATATATATATTTACATTACTAAAATAATAATAATAATAATAACAATAACAACAACAACAATAATAATAATAATAATAACAATAATAATAATAGCCTGGCCAAGTATTTTTATATGAAAATAAGCTGTCTGGTTTCTTCTGGCTACTTCCTTGGCTTACTTTTTAATCCTGAAGATGGAGGCAGTATGTTCTTCTGAAACATCAGTGAACTTTGAACTAAGCAGTTCATCCCAGAAAATGGCACTCATCAATTCAGTTCCAAATAGATAAATACGAGTACATAACTGAATTAGCTTAAATGAAGAGTCACTTGGAAATAAGCGACTAATGTCCATCTGCTGTATGTAAAAATGAGCCAGTGATTTTCAGACTATTAAGTACAGTGGGGGCTCTGAGGTTTAGGCGAGGTGCACAGCAGCTGCAGAAATGTAGTTGCAGTGTTAAAAATTGGATTTTGAATGGAGATGCTGCTTTCATTGTTCCATGTATTTGTAGCTGATGTATAAAATTACTTATATTTACACTACTGTAATAATAATACTTGTTACAACCTGGCTAAGTATTTTTGTATAAAATGAATCTTATTAACTTCTGTATAATCTTTGGACATACTCTTGAGTGATCCAGGATATATTTGGAGGGGGAGAAGCCAGAAAATTTGCTTACAAACTTACGTTTAAGCCATTCACTCACTCAAGGCGCTGAGCTCTTCTTGAGAAGCCACCAATTGTGCAGCTACTCAAGAATTTCCCAGCGTTTTGTGGAACCCAAAGGTTCATTACCGTGTTCACAAGAGCCCTCCACTGGTCTGTATCCTGAGCCACATCAATCCAATCCATCCCATCCCATCCTATCTCTCTAAGATCCATTTTAAGCCTTTTAAGACTATTTTCATTTTGTCATCCTAGAGTACTGAGGACAGACGAATAATTTTTTAAATACTCTGAATTTCTGTTGTTGACGTTTGATATATATTCCACCCCTCTCCCCCTGCATCTGAGAACTGTCTGAGGTGCTGAATAATGTTCATGTGAAAACTGTAATAATTAAAAAATAAATCCCCAAAGTTCATGTAAAGTTTGTAGATACATTCTGTAAAAGATGACATTGTGTATATCATTTTGAAGATAAAGAGACAAGCTAAACTACTGAGTATGAGACAGTAATATTTCTTCCCCAAACCATTATTGTTTTCAGTCAAACTGACAGCAAAGTTGGCCAGTATTCTGATCCTAGCCACTGGTTGCAGCTGAACTAAACGATGGTATTAACTGAAATGTTTCAGCAAGTTTCACTGAGTGAAAAGGAATCCGATCAATACTTCATGGAATAATTGTGGAGGAACTCCTTCTGTAAGTTTGATAAAATTTCTGTTAATGAAATATTCTCTTTATAAGGTAAAGATAAAATTGGACCCATGGTTAATTAATTAAGCACCACGCCATGAAGATGTGGGAATGGAGGTGAGGAGTCGGCTTCATACCCAAGCCACTTTACTCCTGAGAAAAGAGCCCTCCACATAACCATTTGATAGGAGGCTGGGTGGCCCCCAGAGCCGGTTTGGATGAATGTTTTGTTTCTATGCGGATTAAACATTTGGTGCCAAAATTAGAAAATGCTGGCAAAGAGAACACAGAGGAGGTCATCCTTTTTTATCTTTGATGTTTGTAAAGTATTTATTGATAATTTTTGATTAAAGTTGTTTCCAGAAACACACTAACACACTACTCACCACACATGGCACTCAGATAACTTTCACAGCTGCTTGTACTCACTGCAGAGCAATGGATTTCACAATTTTTGTCCGGGCAGGCCAGTCAGCTGATAATTCTCCCCATTTTTATTTACTAGGTGCTTGGGGTTTTAACCAAGTACCTTAGCATCAACTATCCTGAGACTTTTCAGGGTTGTCCTCAATCCCTTGAAACAAATACCAAGATACAGTAGTATCTCAGTTAGGCCAACACAGCTTCCTTCCAAATACTTTTCAACTCACTGTACATTAATCCTACCATTGGACACTGTGTAGGTTGGATACCGATGGCATCATAAAATAAAATAGAAAACATGCTTTTTATAGATTCGAAAGGGTTCTGACAATGGTGTATAATACTCAGAATTACTGGGTTTTGGACTTTATCCATTGTCCGGTATTCTAGAAACTAGAAAAAACAATGTTTCCAAAACCGGATCTGTTTCCACCCTCACGTGAGGAGGGACACCTACTCTGTTGCATCCCTTAAGGGCCCTACACACGCTCTGGTAGACCTGTCAGGTGCGCCTGCACAGGCGTGCCTGCGCAGGTCGACCGGAGCATGTGGATGATAAAACGTCGCAGTTGTGACCTGAACAGTCTGCCAGAGCACATTTGAAAAATCATTAGACGACCTGTGCAGTTTTGTACCTGAGCCAGGGAAACCGGAGCGTGGAAGTCGTCAGTTCAGATACCTGTAGAAATGGCGTACAAAGATACTATGCGATGCATCAAACTTATTCATAGAAATATACCAAAGTGAGCCTTGCTTATGGAAAATTAAGAGCAAGGATTATCACAATCGTGCAAAAAAAGACGCAGCTTATGCAAGATTGGTAGGCAAATTGAAAGAAGTAGAACCGTCTTCCGACAAAGAGAGTGTTGTGAAGAAAATAAATAACATACGAAGCAATTATCGTAAGAAATTAAAAAAAGTTAAGGCGTCATCAAGGTCAGGGTCGGGTACAGAGGATATATACCAACCAAAATTATGGTATTTTACGCTTCTAACGTTTTTAAACGACCAAGAAGAACCTCTGAGCTCTCGCTCAAACATCGAAAGTGATGACAAAGGAAGTGGGATTGAGGTAAGTTTAATAAAATATGTAATATTGAAAAACCAACTCACTCCTCACACATTTTTTTTTCTCCCCTGTATTTATTACAGTCTGTCTACAGGCAGAGACAATAACACATATTTAAACACTTTTCCATCTCATGCTGAGGTCTACAGGACCTGGTGTTAAATTATCATATAAATAGTCTGTTGAATTATAGAAGATTAATGCGTACATGTGATGACTAAAGCCCAGCGTTTGCTCACATGTAGTATAAGGTAGGTATACAGTGGCCAAACACTGAGCTCTAGTAATAAGAATCCTAACAAATAAAAACTAATTATTGCCTTAGGAACACCATACTACAGATGCTGCATCAGGTGAATCTGTGCCTGATGGAAATACACAACATGATGATGGATGCCATATCTCTACAAGAGATGCAAATTCGTCCGAAATAACACCAGTCACTACAACGCCACTCCAATCAAGACCACCGAAAAGGAGTTCACAGGTTTCATCACAGCAAGCCGACTTGATAAATAAGGTTCTATTATCAGTAAATGAGCATTTCACGCGTCCAAAAGTACAAGATCTTTTTGATATTTTCGGGAAAAACGTTGTGATGAAATTACGAGATCTCCCTACGCAACAGAGACTCCTAGCTGAGAGGATCATAAACGAAGCACTATTTGAAGCCGAAATGGGCACTTTGACTACCTCACACAAGTTGATTCTTCCACCTCAACGCCTGTTCTGTGCAATGATTCCCAGTCCCCAGCAGTATGAACGTCAACAGTACCATCAGTTTGATTCAGCAACACCTATTCACAGTACTCCAACTTGTCCAAGTCCAACTTTTCCCACACAGACAACGTCCCATTCACTTGGCCCTTCACACAGCTCAGTGCAGCATTACCAGCATCAAGCACACCCATATCCTTCACCACAAATTCTCACCTCAGTACAACAACACGAACACCCACCATGCCCTCAATTGGCGGGAGTTCACAGTGACACAGTTGCATCCATATCATCCATATCAGCAGCTTCATATCTATCTAAGTGCTAATGATTTGTAAAGTCTTTTTACTTGTAATGTTCCATTTCATTGCTTTCGATTATACAATAAAGTATAGCTTAATGAAGTAAACAAGATGTTATTCATGTAAGATTTGAGGCTTTCACGGCGGTGACTATGAAGAAAGCAGTCTTCTGGGATTTGGCGCCGTGTATATGTGGTGTTAACCGACGTTTCGGAGGAACGTATCGCCCCCATCTTCAGGGTTGAAGAAAAAGTATAGGTAAACTTTTTCTTCAACCCTGAAGATGGGGGCGATACGTTCCTCCGAAACGTCGGTTAACACCACATATACACGGCGCCAAATCCCAGAAGACTGCTTTCTTCAAGATGTTATTCTTTCTTACATGTAAATACTCCTTATGTAGAGCTTTGTATATAGCATCACACGTTTCTGGTATAATGGTAGAGAGAGCCTGTGGTGAAATTACAGTAGTAAATTTCAGGTCTTCGTAGGTTCTTCTTGTTGCCAGGTATCGTAACATTGCAGTTAATCTTTCATGTGGTGAAATGGCCATCCTCATAACGGTATCTTTCTTTTTAATTAATGGGGCAACTAATGACAGGAGCTGTAAATAAGTTTCTTCATTCATGCGCAAATAATTGTGCCAATCTTTAGGGACCAACTTCAGTTCACGTAACAAATTCACATGTGAATAAACGTTCCTTTACATCAACCACTCTTTGCACCAGGTTTGATGCTTACTTTTCGGTTTGAAACAATTTGTAGCTAATAATAAGCCAACTACAGCTAGAACATCGTCATCTGTAGATGCCATGTCCGACCGTAGCAAACACACAACTGAAGTAATATCGGAAAGGTGTACCTGAGCGTGAGGGTGCACTGGGGTTTTCAGGTCGACCTGTGCAGGCACACCTGACAGGTCTACCGGAGCGTGTGTAGGGCCCTTTAGGAAGAGCTAATCTCAGTCACTGGATGTGTTTGAGGTTGTCGTTCAGTGATTGAGGTTACCTCTTTCTAAGGTACCCAACAGAATAGGTGTCTTCCCTCACCAGAGTACAGAAAACAGATCCAGTTTCTGAAAAGTTTTGTTTTCTAGTTTATAGAATACCGAATAATGGACAAAGTCTGAAAATCCAATAATTCTGTGTATGTGTTTTGTACTTTGTACACCCTTAAACAAAGTACCTGGACCACCATCAAAAGAAGTTTGGAAAATGCACAACTTAATTTGTATAATATTTTTATAGTATAAATGGATAAAGATGACTTTTATACACAGAGATATTGGGCTTTCACCCTTTATCCATCATCCTGGTTTTAAGATAAGTAAGAACAACACAACGTTTCGGAAACTGGATCTATTTCCGTCCTCAGCCTGTCACTGGACAATTGGTCCAGTGATTGAAGCTAGCTCTTTCTAAGGGACCCAACAGAATAGGTGTTTTCCCTCATCTGAGGACGGAAACAGATCCAGTTTCCAAAACGTTGTGTTTTTCCTAGTTATCTTAAAACCAGGACGATGGATAAAGTCCGAAAGCCCAGTATCTCTGTGTGTTATACACCATCGTCAGAATCTTATAGTAACTACATGACTTTTATATTTGGCATACATGCTAGACAAGAGTTCACAGTGGGATTGGTGAAAATACAAATGAGTTCCTCTGGCAGTCTCCATTGGCAGCCCTAGAGTTATTGGTGACATAGTTTGAGAAAGAGTGTCAAGGCAGTATGATGAGTCGAAACAGTAATAATTACAAACATTTCAGTGGCACTTAGCGTACCCAATTTTAAGATGAACTTGACTCAAAAGTAGCAGACCATTTGTGCCACACTGTGCCATGTTATATAATTGCTGCATTGGTAAATACAAAACATGTACATCCACCATGACCAGCTTACTCACACCATGGAGAGGAGTGACACTTGGAAAGCTAACAGCCACTCACCTAATCAAGAAATCCTCCTTCACCTTTAAGGAACTCAAGATTGATTACTGTGGTCACTGTTCACACTGACTAAGTCCTTGGAGCTGAGTCCTTCTCGAGAAGCTGCCAGTCACTCAGCTATGCAAGAATTTTCCAACATTTTATGGAACCCAGAGGTTTATTACCTTATTCACAGGAGCCCTCCACTGGTACCTATCCTGAGCCAGATCAATCCAGTCCATACCACCCCATCCTGTCTCTATCCACATATCTAGGTAGTAGTCTCTCTCCATCTGGCTTTCCTGCCAAAACTACGAGGGTTGGAACTTTAATAGTGGCAACACTGCTGTAGGGATGCCATGCAACGGAACCAAATAATGTTGGTTATACCACACGTTAGTTACATACCTACCTTACCTCAGAGCAAATGGACTCTCCCTTCCCACATCACGCACATGCACAGTGATGAGAAGAACAGAGCCTCGTGTTAGCTGGCGGTCTAATGTAGTGTTGTCACGATGTTTTCGAAAGAGGAACAATGGAGTTGGATAAAGATTGAATGTGCCAGATGCCGTGCAGCACCACAGTGTCATCAAGGTCTTCAAGAGGCTTGCGGGGAATCTGCATTGCCTTACAGAACAGTGGCAAGGTGGAACCACCATGAAAATCAAAAGTTTGTCAGAACCTCAGCAGTGTGAAAGTTATGGTGATTCTCGTGTACGACTGTGATGATGTTATCCTAACGCATACCGTTCCCCAACAGCAGACCGTCAATGTGGAGTATTACTGTTCATTTTTGAAACACGACCTGTGACCAGCTTTGAGAAAGAAGCGGTGACACTTTCTGCAGAACGCACCCATCATTTTGCAGGACAATGCTTGGCTGCATGCAGCACAAGCTGTGACTGATTTGTTCGATCGATGGGGCTGGGAAGTGCTGTACCATCCACCATACTCCCCAGACTTAAGCCCTTGTGACTTCAACTTGATTCCTTAAATGAATGAACCACTTCGTGGCATTCGCTTCAGAAGTGTTCCATAGATTCTTCAGGCAGTAGACCGCTCCATTCAAACTATCAACACAACAGGCACTGCTAAAGGTATCCTACGACTTCCACATCGCTGGCAATGGCTTATACACAATGCTGGTGACTACATTGAAGGACAGTAAAACTTTGAAACATGCATCTATTTTGTATCAGTTGTAAATAAATAGTTGCCAGTATTAAAGTTCCAACCCTCGCATATTCATTCCTCTTCTATGCATGCATGCTACATGCCCTTCCCATCTATCCTCTTTCACACTATCATTCTGATTTCATTTTGTGAAGAGTAAAAATTATGAAGCTCCTCATTATGCAGTTTTCTCCAACTTCCTATTATGTTATCTATCTTTGGCACAGATATTCTTCTCAACACCCTGTTATCACACACCCTCAGTCTATGTCCTCCCTTAATGTCAGAGACCAAGTTTCATGCCTTTACAAAACCACAGGCAAAATTATAGTCTTGTATGTTCTAATTTTTACATTTTTAGACAGCAGAGAAGGTTCTGGACTGAATGGTAGCAAGAATTACCCATATTCAATCTCCTCCTAATTTCATCCGCATCAAATTATGATTTGTTACTGTTGTTTCCAAATACTTTAATTCTGTCACATTTCGAAAAGATGTATTAGGTGTAATAATACGATTTTGCCCTGCATTCTGGTGACGAGACATCAGGTCTCAGATTCTGTTCACAGTAGCTCACTAACAATTATAGATCTCATTACACAATTTTCTTCATAGTCCTGACACTTCCTTCCTCTTGGGGCCAGATATTCTCCTCAGCAACAGATGCTCAAAAACCATCATTAACATGTCCTTCTCTTGATGAGAGAGCCGTGTTAGCCATAGAATATCGCACAAAAACATACAAGGAGAGAACAAAAGACAAGTTATCAGTTCCCATTGGCTAGCTCCCAGAACAGAGTGAACCAACAGGGGACAAGAAAAGAGCCGCTAGTGCAGATCTTGAAGCATGGGGAAGACAAGTAAGGGTGTGATAAGCACAGAAGTGGAAAGGATTGGAGACGTGTGCGTGGGTTATTACCTTACACCTTAGGGCCATATTGCTGACATATGAGCTGATCTCACAGTAACATGCCTGCACCAAGTAAGTTGGCTGAATTGTATTCATGAGGTATCTAGTTCAGATCTTAACCATGACACAGTAGCTTCACTGAGATTTGTCATGGTTTTCCTTTGTTCCTCCAAACAATGTCAGGATAGTAGGCCTATCTCAAATGAAGCCACAGCCATTTTCGTCCAAGTCTTTTCAGTTCATTATTTACTAATCATTTTACTATTTGGTGCTATATAATCAGGGATACTGATAGAATTGTTAAATCACAAATAAATAAATAAATAAATAGATTTCTTTGAGCAATGTTTGCATGTATATAAAATCAATTCGTGCTGTAGAGGTTAGCTTCTGCTTCATATAACAGAAGTAGAGGTAACCAGTGCTTATCATATAGCACTCACTGGGTGCTATTGGAAAGTTCCCAGACTGTGCTTTTTTGACTTCTTGTTTCGTTTTGTCTGTGATGGATGGCAAAATCAAGCAACTTGTCTGCATTAAGTTTTGTGTGAAGCTTGGTAAATCCTCTACCAAAACCCGTGAAATGCTTTGTGAGGCTTTTGGAGAACATTATTTAAGCCAGACAGCGATTTTTGAAAAGCATTCATGTTTCAAGGTCAGTTGAGTGTCAGTTGAAGATGATGAACGTTCAGGGCAACCAAGTACCAGCAAAACGACAGGAAGTGTTGAAAAATTTGACAACTCACCCACAAAGACTGTCGCCAAATAATACATGAGCTTAGAGACACAATTTGCATTAGTTATGGAGTTTGCCAGAAAATTTCAATGTGTGCCACATTGCTGTGAAGTTTGTTCCCCAACTCTTGACTAATGATCAAAAGCAGTGGCATGTAAATGTGTGTCTTGAGCTACGAGAGAAGGCTGATGAGGACCCAACTTTTATCTCTAGTATCATAATGGGTGACAAAAGTTGGATTTACGGTTATGATCCAGGGGGGGAAAAAAACGGAACAATTGTTGCAGTGGAAGAGCTCACAATCACAAGAGCAAAAAAGGCGCAGCAGGTGCAGAGTCCAACAAAGAGCACGATCATTGTTTTTTTTTTACATGAATGGGACTGTTTATCATGAATTTGTTCCTCCTAACACTACGGTTAACTCTTGACTTTTACTGTGACGTTTTGAGACGCCTGGGAGAAAATGTGCGATGAAAAACACTGGAATTTTGGTGCAACCACAACTGGCTCCTTCATCAAAACAACGCGTCCACCCACACGTCCCTGAAAATAACAGAGTTTGTGACTAACAACAGCATTGTTATCACTCCCCATCCTCCCTATTCAACCCCCCGTGATTTTTCTTTATTTCCCAAATTTAAAATGAAACTGAAGAGACGACCTTCTGAAAGAGTGTCTGACATCCAAAGGGAATCACATGCAATACTTGACAGCATTAAAGAAAATGACTTCCACCGTGCTTTTCAAGTGTGGGAAAAATGATGGGATCGCCATATACGTTCCCAAGGAGATTATTTTAAAGGAGAAGGAAGCCAAAACTGAGTTAAGCCAACATTCCTTTTTTGACCTAGTCTGGGAACTTTCCGATGCTTCTTTCTGGGAGGCCTGGATATTGAAGAACTTCTGCTGAACTAACATCTTAGCCTAGAAGCACAATGGACCACTTGAGGTCTAAGTGCAAGGGCCAAGAAGGCCTAACCCTCATACATTCAACATCTTAGCCTATGATATTGTATGTACACTGCCAATTTGGGGTACTTGCTATGGATTAGGAATGGGTAAGGAAAATTTGTTCTGAAAATAAATTATATATATTATGCATAAGCTATTGCCACAGATAAATTTCTCTCATTATACTGACAATACAATTCTTCATATTTTCTGTGTGTTGACTGAAGAGTCGGTGTTATAAATAATCTCTTCTGTGGTAACAAACATTTATATACCTGTAGGATTTGAGGCTTTCACGGCGGTGACTATGAAGAAAGCAGTCGTCTGGGATTTGGCACCGTGTATAAGTGGTGTTAACCGACGTTTCGGAGGAACGTATCGCCTCCATCTTCAGGGTAGAAGAAAATATAAGAATTCTGCAAGCGAAGAGACCGTGAGAATTCTTATATTTTCTTCTTCCCTGAAGATGGAGGCGATACGTTCCTCCGAAACGTCGGTTAACACCACTTATACACGGTGCCAAATCCCAGAAGACTGCTTTCTTCATTTATATACCTGTTAATAATTTTTTTTAATTCTAACATATATGACATGTTTTCTGCTTTACTAAGGAAATTCAGAATAATAAATACATTATAAGGCAACAAATATTTAAATGTTGCAGTAAACTAATGTAACAAGAATGACTTTTACTGCATTGGAGTTAGGAATGCAAATCCCTACATCTGGGGCGCTCACCGGTCACATTAACGCACATAATTTTGATACAAAATAAAACAGTTTTTAAATAAAGTAAATATTTTTTGTCACAAATGGACTCTTCAGTCTTCTCCTTATACACCTTGATTCACTGTTTCACAAGCACTAATAGTGGGTAAACTTTTGCTGTCATCATGTTTTCATTCTTTCACTGCCTGGTCTGGATCTTCCCCTCAGTGAAGGAGTATCCATTGTCATTGAATGGTCATGATGTTCACAGTGAATCACACACTGATGATAAGACACTGCAGAGGCATGTCCTGAACGCCCACTTGTGAGTGGCTGACCCTCTTCCCAGACATCGCGCTCTGGGTCATACACCTCCACAATGTTGAGGAATGTCTGCCCATCATAACCTCCTAAGTGAGAAAGTTATATTATTCTTTGGTTCTGAAGGGTTCTGACGATTTTTTATTGCTAGTGGGGTGGGACTAAGTCCCTTGTACTGCAGCCACTTCTGGCCTATTGTACCAGCCCCAGATGATAGGTGAAGGTGATTGTGGAGCAATTGGTGGAATGAAGATTGGCAGGGGAAACTGAAGTACTCGGAGAAAACCTGCCCCAGCGCCACTTTGTCCACCACAAATCCCACTTGACCAGACCTGGGATCGAACCCGGGCCGCCGCGTTGGGAAGCCAGCAACTAACTGCTTGAGCTATGGTGCGGCCTTAGGGTTCTGATGATAGTACGAGTATGTTACACTTGGAATTACTCAATCTGTGGTCTTGTCTGTCATTTAGTATCACACTTAAAGGGGTCAGTGATTAAGATCAGCTTTTTCTAACTCACCTAACTGAGTATACGAGGGGGGACCCAAAAATAACCGGAAACGACCTGGTGCGCGTGCATGCTTTGTAGTTATGAGTTGTGCTGCTAGGTGGTGTTAGCTGGGGGTCTCCCGCGACTGTTAGTGAGCTGGCGTCAGTCTGAGTTAATTGGTCTGTCTGTGGTGCTCTGTTGTGTGCGTTCCTGTTTCAACCCTCTGGCGATTAGTGAGATGGCCGACCAGAAGGAACAAAGAGTGTGCGTGAAATTGATGAAGATCGTCGAAAGACCATTGACCAACTTTCTGAGGAAACGAACATCTCATGGAGCACGGTCCAGTGAATTTTAACCGAAGGTTTGCACACGAGACGGGTGTCTGCAAAATTTGTTCCTCGCTTGCTCGGAGATGACCAAAGAGAAAACCATGTGAATGTTTGCCGCAACTTGAAGAGTGAAGTGCAGTTTTCCCTAACAGAAAGCAAAATTTCACGCACACTTTTTGTTCCTTCTGGTCGGCCATCTCACTAATCGCCAAAGGGTTGAAACAGGAACGCACACAACAGAGCACCACAGACAAACCACTTAACTCAGACTGACGCCAGCTCACTAACAGTCGCGGGAGACCCCCAGCTAACACCACCTAGCAGCACAACTTGTAACTACAAAGCATGCGCGCGCAACAGGTCGTTTCCGGTTATTTTGGGGTCCCCCTTCGTATCCCCCCACCATTTTGTCTAAGCACAAAAACAAATCCAGCATTTTAAGACTTCTTCCTTTTGGAATACTAAATGATGAACAAAGTCCAGAAATTCAGTTATACAATATATGAGGGTGAGTCAAATGAAAACCTTAAATTTGTAATAAAAAAACGAAATTTCAAGCCATTATCCTGTAAGTTGGTAAGTGTGCTACAAACAGCGTGCAGAATGGCCTGTATGTTACAGTATAGTGCTGATGCACAAACACCGTCACAGCACCAGTATAAGATGGCTGCCCCACTTGAGACTTGTACCAGGGAAGAACAGCGTTCTGTTATTCGGTTTTTGTGTAGTGAAGGTGTGAAACCTATTGAAATTTATCGAAGAATGAAGTTTCAGTATGGTGATGCATGTCTGTCACAGCAGCAAGTGTACGAATGGAGTAGGAAGTTTGCAAATGGTGTGACTTCAGTGGAAGATGCTCCTCGTCTGGGTCAGGCACATCGAGTTTTGACTCCAGAGAACACTGCAGCAGTTGAAGCCATAGTGAGGGAAAACCGTCGAGTGACATGAAATTGCAGCAAGTTTAAACATTAGTCATGGTTCAGCACACCACATTGTGCATGATGTGCTCCAGTTTCACAAAGTGTCTGCAAGATGTGTGCCACGGCAGCTGACTCCTGAATTGAAAGACTGACGTATTGATGCTTCTGAAGAACTTCTGTGGCACTTTGAACAAGAAAGTGATGACTTCCTTGCAAGAATCGTTACTGGGGACAAAATCTGGGTTCACTTCCACAAACCGGAAATGAAGAGAGCGAGCAAGGAATGGCGCCATTCCTCATCTCCAACACCGAAGAAGTTTGAACACAACCATCAGCAGGGAAGGTTATGCTGACTCTCTTTTGGGATGAAAAAGGCATCATCTTGGAGCACTACATGCCTAGAGGGACCACTGTCACCAGTGCATCATACTCAGATCTCCTAAACAATCATCTTCGGCCTGCAATCAAATCAAAGAGACGTGGATTGCTGTCCACAGGTATCCTTTTGAAACATGACAATGCAAGGCCCCATACTGCCTGTACAGCAGTTGCGACAATCAATGACCTGCATTTTGAGTGTCTTCCTCATCCGGCATACTCATCAGACCTTGCCCCAAGTGATTTCCATATGCTTGGACCACTCAAAGAAGCAATGGGAGGAAAGACGTTCCGTTCTGATGAAGAGGTATGCCACTTGGTGCATGAGTGGTTGCGCGGACTACCAAAAGAATTTTTTTCTAAGGGAATTCATGCACTTTGTAAGCACATTGAGCGCGGGGGAGATTATGTTGAAAAGTGATATAGCTTTGTACCACTTGTGCACAATAAATAATAGTCAAAAAAATAGTTAAGGTTTTCATTTGACTCGCCTACGTATATTATTACTCTTGCACACAGTTTCAATTGACCTAATCCTGCCAGCTGCACTGTGGCCCTGGGGTCAACTCAGCCTCAAACAGAAATGAGTAGCAGGAATCTTCCTGGGGGAAAGAGCGGCCAGTGCGTAAGGCTGACAACCTCACTGCCATCTGTGAGCTCCTGTCTCAGAAAAATGTGGGAGCCTCGACGTCTCACAACCCTATGGGCCTCCACAGCCTGTTACAAGGATAGATGTACCTTTACCATTATTACATGTTCCATACATCAGTTTTACATGTTGCACATAAAACTTAACTTACTAGAAGTTTGTTTGAGTGAAATACCCGATATCTTCACGATTGAAGAGTTCTGTCTTCTGGGATATAATGCTGCATAGTCCATTGAAAAGCAACCCACATGTCGCTTCCATTTTCAGGGTTGAAGAAGAAACCAAGTTTGCTACCTACTTGATGCTGGTATCTTGCTTGGCTTATTCTTTGACCCTGAAGATGGAGGTGACATTGAGTGGACTACAAAGCAGTATATCCTAGAAGATACAACTCCTCATAACCACCACTGTGAGACCTCAAATCCTATAATCTTCATGGTTATTTCTGGTATGACACACAATGCAGTACATTATTGCACTCCCAATTAAGCTTCAGTTATTCAAGCCGCAGTTTTCAACTCTTTCTGATTCACAGACTGGTAAAGGAACGGTGGCTATTCTGACATCAGATTTAATTATTTCAACACATCTTGACCATATTAAGACTGTGATCACATGGGCTATTATGCCATATATTGCTGTAGGTGGTTATCAGTGTTTCAGGAACCTNCGGGCTATTATGCCATATATTGCTGTAGGTGGTTTATGCCATATATTGCTGTAGGTGGTTATCAGTGTTTCAGGAACCTGCTGCATCCAGCTTCTGCAGCAATGGCAAATATGTATAATACAACTAGGCATAACATAAGACATGGACCAGCAAAGGAATGCGAATTGCAGAGTAAGAAACATATCTCCAAGTACAATTTTTGATATACAAACTTTCTTGCAGTGAAAGTAACAATGAGAAAAATACTGAACAGTAATGTTATGTACGAAATCATCGGTATTTTATTAGGATAATAACTGAGAACTTACCCATAGCATAAAGTTTTCCATCCAGTACAGTCAGACTGAGTGCGCTACGTGCTGTGCGTATGCTGGACACTGAGTCCCAACTGTCTTTCTCTGTATCATACCGCTCTACTGTGTTTAGCTGCCTGTTTCCATCATAGCCTCCAACTACATAGATATATTGGTTCAGTGCTGCCACACCTGTAAAATTACATGAACTGCTCCTTACTTCCTTCATACTTATACACGTAGCACTGCTATGACTTATCCAGTATTTATACTAGACTACTGGTCTTACATAGGGTACACTCTTTTTGAACCGAACATGAGAGAGTTTTAAGAGTCACAACAACCAAATACAAGACAAGACATGAGCTGCACTATGCAGCATAAAGAAAACAACATGGTGACACATTCCAATGACACTCACATATTAATAAGAGATAGCACATAGGAACATGCATTGCAAGAGACCCATACCATCACGACATGGCCCCAGCTACATCATACTTCAGAACACCACAGGGGCAGCCAGTGTGTACCATCAGAATGGTCAAAACAGACATTCACAGCCATCTTGAATTGTTCATTCAAAATATGTAACTTGACAATCTGATGAGAACCCACACACACTAGTGTACAGTTTCAAAACTCTTTTAACTTTAAATCTTAAACTATGTTCAGTTTAATTTAATTTAATCTCAAAGCCGATGAGTAAACAAACCAGAGGTTCACTACTAAGCAGTAATTATTTAATCATATAGTCAAATATGAAGGAAAATATGGATCCATATTGAACAAAAAATTCAGCTGCTAAGTACACAGAAGTACACCTGATGATGATCCAGTAGGGTCAAAACATGTCATGATTAACATTAATGTAAATAGCTATTGGTGGGAAAGCCAGAAGGAAAGAGACCACTAAGATGACCAAAACATAGGTGGGTGGATAATATTAAAATGGGGATGTTATGGATTGGAATGATCTGGCTCAATAGATGAACCAGTGGAGGGCTCTTGTGAGCACAGTAATAAACCTGCAGGTTCCATAAAATTCTGGGAATTTGTTGAGTAGCTGCACAATTGGCAGCTTCTCAAGAAGGGCTCTGCTCTGTGAGTGAATGAGTGAGGGTTACATGTTGACATAGGCCGCCCCATAGCTCAAGTGGTTAGTCGCTGGCTTCCCACTGCAGTGGCCCGGGTTCGATCCTGGGTCTGGTCAAGTGGGATTTGTGGTGGACAATGTGGTGCTAGGGCAGGTTTTCTCCGAGTACTTCGGTTTCCCCTGCCAATCTTTATTCCACCAACTGCTCCACAATCACCCTCACCTATCATCTGGGGCTGGTACAATAGGCCAGAAGTGGCCGCAGTACAAGGGACTTAGTCCCACCCCACTAGCAATAAAAAAAATGATGACATTATTTTTGGTAAGACCAACAAGAGTTAAAAAAACTGTCACTGATGTGGAACTTTCTAATGATCTAAGAAGTCTGTACACAGTGAAAACCCCATCTAAGGTTTTTTTGGGAAGCAGTGAACCTCAAAATTAAACTGAGAAGTAGGGTAATTTAATATTGAGACTACTAACTTTGGATCAGTGAAACTGATTGGTAAATGAGGGAAATATTTTAATCAAGGAACATTAAATGTGAATTCCACCATATAATTTATTTGTTTACAGTTTATGTAATGAGACTATCAGTATGTGACACTACATGTGTAGCATTAAATGGTAGGATGGTAGTGAATAATGAATGGGAAGTAAAGATGCCATGGCCTAATTTGAGGTACTATTCCAGTACTTGCCTGAAAGGCATGAGGAAATCTACCTGTCAGGTTAGCTGGTTTCCAGGCAGGGTGTCCCAGGAGGGAAGGTCAATTTTCTGGGAGGTCATAGTATCAGTCATTATAAGCAAAGAAGTGTATATGTACATGTGCCCTATTCTGAACGGTTTCCGAGACAGAGCAATTTCACTGTACACTGTACAGACGAGCAACATGCCATGTCCTCACACGAGTTGCAAAGTGCATTTGATGTTGACAGAATTTTCGAAAATATGTCATACTAGGTAAACTGTACCAGCTTTGTCATTTGAACAATAAATACTGGTATTAGAAACAGTGTGTAATATCTTTTCCTTATCAACAATTTTGGAACTGTACGGTGAAATAATTCTATATCGGAAGCCGTTTGGAATAGGACATACACTTTTTTTGCTTAGAATGACCAAATGACTTTCAAGAATATTGACCTTTCCTCCTGGGACATTCTGTATACAGTGCTTTTCTCTAAGAGCATTTCTACCGATACCCTATGTTCAGATTTAATTGGAAGGTCAAAACATACAGTGCACCATCAGATATACAACATCTGGCAAGTCTGCAGTATGCATACACACATGTGCTTACTGGCTGTGGATATATTTTCAGATAAAATTAAAAATTACCTGCTCCACTTCTCTGTGTTGTCATGGGTGTTATCATGTTCCAGGCATTATTTTCTGGGTGATAACATTCTCCTGAGCCTAGCCTCTCCGTGCCGTCATAGCCACCAATTGCATAGAGTAACCTGTTGACAACAGCCACCCCCACTCCAAGACGTTTCGTATGCATTGGTTTTACACTAGTCCACCTATCTTCTTCTGGGTCATACCTTGAATCAGTATGTGAAAAACACTGCTTTTGTTAATTTCACATGAAAAGAAACATTTCTGGGTGGGGGGGGGGAAAAAAACTTCTAAACATGTAGGATTTGAGGTTCCCCAAGTAGCGACTATGAGAAGTACAATCTTCTAAGATACAAGATCATGTAGTGCAGTAGAAGTTCACTGATTTTGCCTCCTTCTTCAAGGTCAAAGAATAAGCCAGAAGCAGCAAAATGCAGGTGGCAAGCAGAGCTCAACTTTCTGCCTGCTTGTCGCTTGTTTTGCTCTTTGAATCTGGAGATGGGGGCAGTATTTTCATCTGAAATGTCGAAGAGCTTCTACCAGACTACGTGACATTACATCCCTTCTCTTCTTAAAGAACTTACTCCCATTCAAAAGCTTCAGTCTGTGTGTTAAGCTACGCTATTTAGTAATCCACTGCTGTGCATAACTGCCACTAGCAGAGATTCAGACCACAGTTAGGTTTCAGATATGCCTTCAAACTTGTGCAAAATTGCCCCATTTGTAATTATGATGGTTGTTCAAATGAAACTCATTTACAGCGCTGCTAGTGAATATGACAAGGGTGCAGTGGCAAGAGAAAGACATTCTGTGCCCACAATCTATCATGAATTACAAAATGAGCGTGGGAGATGTCACCTTGGCAGTTCAAATGAAAGCATATTATGGAATCCTGTGAAAATGTAACAAGTGTTAGAAAGGTATTTTCCATTTTCTTCTAAACGTAACAATACTTGGAACTGTCTTCTTCTCTATGATGAAATCAAGTGACCTGCTTGCATGTTAAATGAGGCATGCAGCTCTAAGCTATCTAAGCTGATAAACTTTAGGTTTGCAGGATGGTAGGAAGATGGCAGTTTACTGTGTGACACAGGCTCAAAAATCACTGGACATGTGAAAACTTGTGCTAAATACATTTGATAAGAAAACAATCTGGGATTGAAACAGCACACAACTGTACACAGTCTGAGCTGATGTGCCATCAGCCATTTCCTGATTAATCACCAACAGCACAAAACTGAGGACTGAACATCAACTATTTTCAAAATGACATTCCAGAACTACAGGTGACTCTTGCATATGTGCTTTCATTATCATGAGGAGCATTAGTGTCCTATCCATAGCCACAGTATAAACTGCCACACTCGACCGATGAGTTACAGAGGTGGCTCCCCTCACTCACCCCACCACTCTACTGCAGTCATGTCGCTTTGACTGCTTTTCCACTGTGCTCAGTGTCCATTTAGTGCATTCCAATTTTACACATTCTCAGTAAAAGGTAAAGCTATCCCTGTAACAGGCCATGGAGGCCTATGGGTTTGTGAGACACTGTAGCATAGTGCCTCGCCCAACTACACTACCATGACACATTCTCCATATACATGACAATTTTCAGGAACTTGACCCTTGAGTATAATGTAGGCTTAGAAACAAAATCAGGAGATAATTTATTTTGGAGTTGTACAAATTTCTAACTGCTTACCTCTCTACGCTGCTGTGGTACTCACTGCCTGCCGATCCACCAACAGCATATAAGAGACCATCCATCACAGCCACGCCCACCCTGTTACGAGGAACTGACATAGGGCTACAAGGACGCCACTGGTCTGTTACTGGATTATACCGATCAACCCAGTCAGAATCGTAACTACTCCCTGGAGAGTTGTTACGTCCCCCTACAGCATAAAACATGCCCTGAGGAAAAATTAAAAAAAAAAAAAGAAAAGAAAAAGGAAGCTTAAATGACATACATATGTACACAAGTATAATGATAAAAAATGCACAACAGTTACTACCTTCAGAAAAGCTCCTCCTAGCCCAGATCTAGGTACAGTTAACTTAGCAAGTTGTGACCATGTACGATCATCTGCGTTATAGCCTTCAAGGAGATCTAGTGAGTTTCTGAGATAACCTCCGGCTATGTAAATTACTCTTGGAGTATTAGGTGTGCGTTCCTTCACACATGGTTTCTTGTGCAGGGTCAGATCCTGTGCAGACAAAACGATGCTTGTAGTCCTGTAACAACTTCTGCATACACAAAACAGGCTGTCCATATTCTTTACTTTGCCACAATCTTGCATTTCCTGAGATGATTCGTGATGTGTTACATAATCCCTCACAGAAAAAAAACTTCAGTATCTGTTTCCTAGAAGAAATTATTATGCACCAGAGAATGAGTATGATTAAAGTTCTGTAACTGGATAGGAGGAGCAAGGATTCTGTGATGTGAAGCCCTGTAGTCTGGTAGAAGTTTACCAACATTTCAGAGGAATGTACTGCCTCCATCTTCGGGGTTAGAGTAAGCTAAGCAGTTTACTGTGACGATGGAGGCAGTACATTCCTCTGAAACATCAGGAAGCTTTACTATACTACAAAGCATTATATCCCAGAAGACAGTACTCCCAGACCATCAGACCTCATACAGACTACGTGTGTCCATGCCAGCTTTGCAGTACATTTCATTCTAAGGTTAACCCTCTGCGGATCAGCCTCATTTTCTGTATGTGCAAGACAAAACACTATTTAAATGAAGTGTTTCTTCTGGCACCTTTTCTCTCTTGTTACGTTATGGATTGGATTACAAATTGGAATTGTACATCCTTCTAGAAGCAAGTCTGAGGAGGTTAAAGAAATAAGCCCTTCTACACATCAGTCAGCAAACAAGATATAACAAGAACAAGATGATGATTAAAATGTGACTTCATGTAATGTGTGTTGTTACTATTAGAAGTATTTCCCATACTTTAAAAATTATGTATTATGCATCTTCAGAGATAGATTTAAGGTACAAAAATGTATTTAATAAGAGCTAGTTTTCTAGTTCTGGCTTACTTTCCATAATTCATCAAAAAGCTCACAAACAAAATCCTGTTATGGTATTTACCATTCATTCAGATAAATATCTGTTAGTCTACTGATTCCAAGAAAACATTGGTTCGACAATACAGGGCTCAATATCTAATGCATAAATGAGTGTGTTACCTTAAATATCTGAGCCAGATATTCTCTACATGCAGGCAATTTCTTGAGTACATCACAGTTCTTCATTTGGTCTCGAAGAAAATTTGGTGTGAGGTACTGACATCGCACTGCTTGTAGGATGTGTTCCATTTTTGGGTACCTTTTCTCTTCATCATATTTAACCCACTTAAGAACGGCGTTATATACTTCACGTTCCTCTTGAACGTTCAACTCGTCCTTCTTGATGAGAGCCACTAATTGGATTGCTGATAATTGCAAGAACTCTTCTTCCTGACAGATCTGTGAATTTACAGAGGGTATCAGCTTACATACCTCATTTACAGGAAAAGTAGGCCTACAACAAGCTCATGTCCATTACTGTATGTCTCCTCCCCATGTAACTTTGAAACCAACTGGTGAATTTTCATAATGTCAGATACAATCATGCACTAGAGGTCACCCCATCTTTTTTTTTTTTTTTAATTTCTTAATAAGGTAAACCCATCCCTGTGCTCAAAGACTTAAGCATTACACCATAAAAGCATATGGGGGATATAGACCTCAGCACTAGTTGGAGGTCAGTTGTCATCTTCATGCCTCTGCCACTTTACCCCTCAGAGAAAGAGCCCCCCGGTATCCATTGGATAGGAGGTTGGGTGGACCCCAGAGTCAGTCTGGATGATTTGGAGAACAGAAAATTCTTGACCCTACCAGGACTTAAACTCAAACCCCTCAGTTGTCCAGCCCATAGCCAGTCGCTATACCACCCACGTTATCCTGACTCCTAATTTCTTGATATAAGTATTACTAACATGGCGGCCATGTCAATTTATGAGGTGGAAGTAACACCTGTAGTATTGACAAAATTTCTGGATGTAATTTGTGTATATACAGCAATACCTCGCATAGACTGGCTTTGATCAGTCTGGATTCACTATAGTCTGGTTTGAAAATTTCAAAACATACTAAATTTTAATTGAGCAAAATAAAAATAAATTCTATAAAATTAGTACACAAAATTATTTTTAATACATAAATGATCGTTTTTTTCCCTTTTATACAGTCAAGCCTCTCTTTGTGCGGTTCATTTTTATGTGGTTTTAAAGTTATACGATACGATACATATTTAAATTCTTTCTGGGGTTCCCCATTGTATATGTATGTACCTATGCTTGGGTTGTTCGTTCTTGAGCTCTGACAGGTGTTGCTGGAGGAGGTGAGGAGAGCACTACTTTAACGGAATTTTGGAAGAGCTACAACACTGAAACGTTATCAAAAATATAGGTGAAGCATGGCACGAATTAATGGCAAGCGATATGAGGGCAGTATGGAAACATATCATACCACACTGTGCAAATGATTTCGTTTTGAAACTCATTTTGCTGAAGTTACTAATAACATAATGCAAATTGGACAGCACCTTGGTTTCAATGAGTTAGATTCCATCAACGTAATTGAGTGCATCAAATCGAACACTAATGAACTAGATAATGAAACACTTATTAACACAGATGAACAATGGGCTTATGAAGAACGGGAGGACAACTTAGACAACGACAACTGTGTTGAAGTGCCTGCACGAGAATTAACAGCTGAACAACTATAAAAAATTATTGGAATGACTGAAACCTTCTCAGAGCATATTATGGAATTTGATCCCAATATTGAACATAGCCTTACAATTCGCCGAACGATAAACATTGCAATTTGTTGCTACAAAAAATGTATGAAGATAAAAGGCCAAAGAAGAAAAATGTGCAGACATCAATATTGCAATTTTTAGAGAATAAAAATGAATTGCAAAAACATGTTGTTTTTTTAACTTACTTATGTTAAAGACATTTGAGTTTATTGATCCCGTTTTATTTATTGAAAAACGGAGCATTTTTTGGAACCAATTATCATTTTGTGTATGTATTTAGTTCCTCTATTAGTCCGGTTTCAAACAGTCCGGGATATTGGCGGAATCGATTACCTGGACTATGCGAGGTACTGCTGTATATAAAACAGTGCAACACCCACACAAAATCTGTATTTTAACTTCTCATTTGATGATAACTAATGCACCTGTGGAGATAGGCATGTAGAATTCTGCATGGAGATAGATCATAGATGTACCTACAATTCATCTAACCCAACTGAAATATATTAGAAAACTGGATAATGTAATTTGCCCAAATGGTGTCCACAGAGAATATGAGCAATATGCCAACCAGATGAGGCTAAAAGCACGAATGACTTAATAATCAAAGTGTGGCATTAGAAACCAACCAGCTGACCAGGGCATAAAGATGACCACCCATCTCCATCTGTTGCCAAGATTAAGAACACATGGCTCTATACCTCCACTCCACTGTACATCCACGTGGTATGTTGCGTAGTTAATTAAGCACTGGGACAACTCTATTTTTCATCCTACTTACCTTATTTGGAAGAAATAAAAGGAGGCTTATGGGATCACCTGGTTGTCTGTCTGTTTATCCCTCCCCTCTGCCCAAATTTTTCCTTTTCTGTTTAGTCTGTGTCATATCAAAGGAAAGTATGGGATTAGTTCTTCCCAGAACTTCTTGTTAACTTTACGTTTATGTTATTTTGGACATTTTCCATCTTGTTTTGCTAAAAAAAACACCAAACTCCAAAAGCTGGATCTGCTTTTATCATTAGTTTGAAGTATGAAACCTACTCTGTTGGAATTATTGGGTTTTTGGACTTTTTCCATCATCTGGTATTCTATAAAATAGAAAATACAATGTTTCAGAAGCTGGATCTGTTTCCATCTTCAGGTGAGAGGTGGGAAGACACCCACTCAGTTGGGCCCCTTAGAAAGAGCTAATCTCAATCACTGGACCAGGGGCCCCACTGAGTAGGTGTTTCCCCCCCCCNCCCTCAGCTGAAGACAGAAAAAGTCCAAAAACCCAGTAATTCTGTGTGTTATACATCATTGTCTGAACCCTTTAGAATCTACTACTCTGTTGGGTACATTACACGGAACTAATCTCTGTCTCAAGACTGAGAAGTAGGTTTCATACATTCAGCTGATGATGGCAGCAGAGCCAGCTTCCAAAACATGCCTCTTTAACCAAAATAAGATGAAGGAAAATGTCAATTATACGAGTATTCATGTGTATCAGTTTACTAACACACCACAGGCACAATCCATCCCTTACAAGAACTCCAGTAACCAACAATAATTCTTCATCATTGGCTGTTCATAAGGAACTTCACCTGTATGATTGCCTTTTTACAAAGATACTGCCATGATCCTGCTTGACAGCAGGCAAGTAAACACAATATATTTCTTCCTCACCATTTTTTGCATTCTCTATACAGTAGAAACAGACACTTTATATGGTCATGTCTGTCCATCCATTGCCTGGTATCAGCATCTAAACAACTTCACAAACTCTTTAAAAATTCAGTTTAGGAGACTTCACTAAAAGTTGCCAGGCAATTCCAGTTTTGCTTAAAATTGGATAAAAATAACAGAAAATTCAATCAACATGCATTTCTGCACATGTCTTGAGTTAACTCAAAATATTTATGAGAGTACTTGCTGAAATGCTTTTATGTCCAATATATTATACTGGGGGGATGGGGGGGGGGTCATTGCACAAATTTTTCTAAGGTTATGCCTGTCTGACCGTCAGTGACCTAGTATCAGCATTGAAATCACTGGACTTTTTTTTTTATTTTATATATGAACTTTCACTAAAAGTTGCTAGAAAATTCTGATTTTTATTGACCCATAATAATGTGCACTTTACATAAGGCCATACATAAATGCACTTTTTCACGATAAGACAATAGTCAAATTTTATAAGCAACCTCAAGTGTGCTTAATAAACAGAAAAAAAATATTGGGAATTCTGTGTACTACATTATGGAGTACACCTTTAACGACCTCCTTCTTTCTATGGTGTTTACCAGGAACTTTGTGCTCTAGACATTTCCAAGACAGTGAGGTCACTAACCTAGAGTAATACCATGGGCTGCACATTTTCTGGGACATGGTTCAATGGTTCATTGGGAGCATTTTACATTGCTGTACAATCACAACATCTGGAGAATACAGAAAGATGGGTGGTTAAGTGTAGAAGACAATGAGATTGTTTGGTTGTACAAAGATAATGAAGAGACAGGCTCAATTTTGCAATCTCATTTTATTTGCAAGTGTGAATTCATGCAGTACAAACCTGAGTAAAATGTTGCTCAATGAACTGAGTTGCTTTGTGGTTCAGTTCCTTACAGCCATGTTGTTCTGCAAAGTTAGCGATACCGATCGCATTTGTGGGGTCAAGCTGACGTTCCAGGAATACGCAGCATGCGTCAATGACATTAGTGACCTGTAACAGTATTTGTTAAATATAAGAAAAAGCTTTGGATTTTTTCAAGGACAAACTTTTCTCTTAAATAATTTAAGTTGAAAATACATGAAATATCACGATTTCTTTATAATTTGTGGGTATGCAGATGTAACAGGCCGTGAAGGCCCATAGGGTTGTGGGGCCTCGAGGCTCTGTCTCTAGACAGTCAGCTCACAGATGGTGGTAAGGCTGTCAGCCTTACGAGCCAGCTGCCCTTTACTTATTTACTTATTTTTTTCTTTGGAGGCTGAGTTGACCCCAGGGCCATAGTGCAGCTGGAAGGATTAGGTAAACTGAAAAAAATCCAGCTCATCAGGACTCAAACGCACAACCTTCCAGCTTGTAGCATAGTACCTCAACTAACTACACTACTGCATGCCATACCTTTTTATGTTTTACTACTTTTATACTTCTTTCTGTTTTGAAAAAATAAAAGCAAGCTTATTAAATCACCTTGCTGTGTGTATGTGTGTGTGTCTGCATATCACCTCTATTGTTGCTATGCAACAGCTCAGTAAGCATGTTCCCATGGCAACAAGTACACACACAAGAACAAAAGAACTGTTGGATGCATCATTTTCTGTGTGATTTATGTTGTATCAAAGGAAAGCAGACAGAACTTGTTTTGAGTTAAAAGATAAATGTGCTACTCAGACCGATGTCATAATATAAACAAATTAACCGAAAATATATAAAAAAATGTTGACGGTGTTTTTGTATATATTCAGAATTAAAATCAAAGCATTTTATGTGTTTTTCAGAAAACCATATTTTGGTAATGTGCACTAGCATATAGGCTGTGCCAGTGAGGAATACCAAACTGAGCAGGAAGGTAGAACATTTTTAGACAAGCATTACCTTCTTACCAGCTTTCTGTTTTGTGCAACTTATGTATTCAATGACACTGCACTTTGTTAGTAATCACTTTCACGTGTAGCACTGACTTTCATATGCCTGTCATTGTTTGTGGCAGCTAGAATTCAAGGATTATATTTTACACAAACTTTGATACTACCTCTAAATAGCTGTTCAAACCAAGTAGGCAATGGGGAACGATTACTCATCTGACAGGCAACAAAGTGTAAACTGAGGTACTGAGGTTCTCACCGAGGTGCCTATACTGCAGTTCAGTATAAAACCACCGACATTTCGGAGAACTCTGAAGATGGAGGCAATATGTCCCTCCGAAAGGTGAGTGGACTTACACTGAACTACACAGTATTACAGGCCAGAAGTTCATACTCTTCAAGAAAGTTCTGAAGCAGGATTTTAAGTTTGGGTTTCTTATGTTGCAATGAAGTTTTTTTTCATTCGCATAGTGGGGTGTGGAGTCCAGCTGGGTCCACTCGGCATGGCGGCCACTGACTGGCCTATTGTACCTGCAGTGGGTGTTATGATGATGGAGAATTTGGTGGAATTAAGATTGGCAGGGGAAACCGAAGTACTCAGAGAAAACCCGCCCCAGTGCCACTCTGTCCACCACAAATCCCACTTGACCAGACCTGGGATCGAACCTGGGCCACCATGGCGGGAAGCCAGCGACTAACCGCTTGAGCTATGGCACAGCCTGCAATGAAGTTACTCTTGGAATCTCATAATCATATTTTTGGTTTCTGCATGTGACAGCATCTTAAAAACACTGATTTATATCTCTGATTTATTTTCCTGTTATATCATAATGACACTTGAACAGAGTCCACAAATTTTCAAGTACCATAAAATTTCCTTACAGCATGTCAGTCACTGTCAAAGCAACAAGCAGATAATATTCTCGTATGACTTTTTTACTCTGTTTCAGTGACTGTGGGTATAATGTTCATTATTCAGACATACAAATCCAAATTAATGTTCATTTCAGTATACCCCTATTTTGTATTATTTCTACTGCAGAATTATTTTAAAAGCAATATGCATCACCAAAACGCATGTCCCAGGGAGTATTTGGTCTTAATAAATGGCTTATAAAGATAAAAAGGTAAAGCTATCCCTGTAACAGGCCATGAAGGCCCGTAGGCTCCCACATTACCTAGACAATTAGCTCACAGATGGCAGTGAGGTTGTACACACCTGCCGCACTTTACCCCCCTGGAAAATTCCTGGTACTCATTTCTGTTAGAGACTGAGTCCACCCCAGGGCCATAGTGAGGCTGGAAGGATTGTGTACATTGAAAGAAATCCAATGACCTCATTGGAAATCAAACCCACATCCTTCCGGCTTGTAGCAAAGTGCCTCAACCAACTACACTACCGTGTGCCCCGTAATAAACGGATTGCTTATATATTCTGTATGTCTGAAAGTCCGTGTGCAAATAAAAATGTTCCCAAAGCAGAGTAAATCATTATTACATTTGTTAAGGACCCTATTAAAATATAATTTAACTTGTAATTGTGGAAAATTTGGGCCATGACATGCAACTTAGAGATGTATAGGTGACTGAAATTGCTTAGCCTTGTATAGGTTTGCCTGGCAACCATCTTGACAGTTAATGAAAAGTATGAGACTGCAGATATCATTTTTTGGTTACAACTAAATTCAGTTTTAAAGAGTCTAAAAAGAATACAAATAAGCACATAGAGAGACAACAACTATACCTGGAACATGGTGGCTGCTGGTAGCAACTGGCACACTGTAACTTCAGTAACTCTTATCTGGCCTGTGTACATAAAGTGCAATATCCTCGCCATTGCGGTGGGACAAACACCTTGTAACTTTACTCGTGACATTTCACATTCTTTGAGACCACCTGTGAACATTGCCTGTAAGAAAAGTGGCACAGAATTGCTAAAACAATTTAATTATTTTTATAATAACTTGGTTATCTAGATGTTTTGGACGTTCTATGTCAGCAAGTAAAAAGGTGAAGTTGTCCCTGTGCTTAATTAATTAAGGACCACACCATTAAAACACAGGCATTAGTGCATATATAGCTCCACCATTCTTGACCTCAGCCCTAGGTGGTGGTGAGTGGTCAGCTTGATGCCCCTGCCACTTTACTCCCCATACTCACTGGACAAAGGGAGCCAAGATAGTGTAGTTGGTATAGTGACTGGCTACAGGCTGGACAACCAAAGGGTTTGAGTTTGAGTCCCGGTAGAGTCAAGAATTTTCTCATCTCCATGTCTGGAGTCCACCCAACCTCATATCCAATGGGTACCGGGCCGCTTTCTCTGGGGGTAAAGCGGCCGGGGCGTGAAGCTGACCACTCATCTCCAGCTAGTGCCAAGGTCAAGAAAATGTGGATCTAAACATCCACTCCCCCATACACCTTCATGGTGTAGTGCTTAACTGGTTAAGTACGGTGACAACTTTACTTACTCACTGGACAAAAGGCTGAGTGGACCCCAGAGCTGATCTGAACGTTCTTGTCAGTTAGTAGGCCGACTGATTTATCTGTTTCAACTACTTAAACTGCAGAAGTTGCATATTGTGACATGAGATGAAAGGATAATCATGAATGATGAGTGCTCATGATTTGGAAGGAGACAGTCATAGCATATTTAAAAAAACTGTCCCAGTGTTTACTTGAAGAAGCTATGGACCACAAAATCCTCAGAATAGCTGGTAACTAAGCAAAATTCAAACTAGATACCTCTTGAAATTACTGGTATGTCTAGCCTCACTTCGTACATAAATCCAGAAGTATGTTCAACCATGTCAGTCTTACTGTCTAGTTCCTGAGCTCTAAGTTTAATTTTGGGAGCATGCATTAGCATAGTTGGTTGAGGCACTATGCTACAAGTCGGAAGGTCATGGGTTCGAGTACCAATGAGCTGAATTTTTTCAATTGACCCAATCCTGCCTACCACACTATGGCCCTGGGTTCAACTGAGCCTCTGACGAAAATGAGTACCACAAATCTTCCGGGGGGGGGGGGGGAAAGGGCGGGGGGGCGTAAGGCTAACAACATTACTGCCCTCTGTGGGCTGACTGTCTA